AGATGTATCCTTGCTCTGGAGCGTGTTACTGAATATGTTAAAGCTGTAATGAAATGCTTCTTCTAATCATGTGGTTACTAAATTTTTTTAATTAAAAAAGAATTCTTCAAAGCATAAAAATTTGCTCCTTAATAATTAGTAGATGTGGAAAACATTACCATTGAAATCTACCTGATAACTTAATATCCATGCTCAGATGCTAAGGCGCTCAGAAAGTAACTGACTGTGACTAGTAGTAATCAGATATATACAGATTAGAAATGCATGTGCAAACATCTTAGTGTCAGTTGCATTAAAAGTGAATTTTTCTGTATGAAACTGTATTTTAATTTAAAAATTGAGGTTAAAACCTCAATTTTATGTTAGTGACCTGTTGCAGAATTCTCCTCTATAAGAGATTATTACCAATATCACCCCAGGGCATCAGAGTTTTGTATTTCTTTAAACTGAAATGCTTAGGGCAGGCAGAAGGAAGCAGTTACAGTCTATGATCACTAACCTTTCTCTCCATGTGAATACAGGTCCTGCACAGCAGAATTTCAAGCATTTGTTGTATTATGGACAATTATTATTGTTAGGTTTTGTGCTTTTAAAGCTTAGTCTTTCTATTTTTGAAACAAGGTGTCACTATCTCACTATATAATATCACTACATAATGTTGGAAGGCTGGGCTGGAACTTACTGTGGAGCACAGATTGGCCTTGAATCACAGGGATTCTCTGGCTTCATCCTCCTGATGTATTGGGTTGTCAGATGTGTACTACCACACCCACCTGTTATGATTATTTGCTAATCAATGAACATACTGTTATTTCCACTAATCTGTTTCTTTTCAGATGAAGAGTATCTCTCTAGCCTCTTGCCATCAGTTGAATTCCAAATTCTTAGATCAGTCTCTAGGAGAACAGGTAAGGATTGTAATCCTAATATAATAGAAGCAGCTTAACTCTTTCTGCCAACACTCTAAGCTTAAATTTGTTTTTTGCTTTTAACCATGTTTGATAAAATGGACATACATCCCAACACATGTTCATTTATGTGTATGTGTTAGTCAACTTGTGGTCTATGTTGATAGAACTCAGGATTCCCAACGATGACATTGGGGAGGATAGCGTTTAAAAAGTTGATTGGTTGGTTGAGTAAGATCTGATACTGAGTTTAAAGTTAAATATAAAGTGCAGCATTTTATAGTGTGGTCTGAGAATTATCTGTCCTTAGAAGCAGATAAATCATTCCATCATTAAAAATGGTTTGTGTACTGCCATATTATAATTTGTAATTCTAGCCAGATATGGTCGCTCATGCCTGTAATCTCAGCACTTGAGAGGCTAAGGCAGGAGGCTCACCACCAGTTTAAGGTCAGCCTGGGCTACAGGGTGAGATTTTTATCTAAAAAAAAAAAAAAAAGCCAGAAAAATAAATAACATGCCACATGATGTGGCAGAGTCAGGGAAGGGATGAATAACCGTTCAGTGGATGGCAAGATTAAGTACTTACTTAGGCTTGAATTCTAAAGACTTTTGAATCGTAATTGACCACTCACTTTGTATTTGTGTGAGTCATAATAACTCTGATTTTGTTGTTGTTTTGGTTTGGGACTTTTTTCTCTCCTGGTAATAATACCTGGGCAAAACCTTTTAAAACTGAAGTGTGGATATAAAGCAATTAATCAGTGCCCAGTTAATATTGTTTCTACATAGAATGGCTCAAAGAATAGTAGGCTAAACTGTAAATGGTATCTCCATTGGGATGTCTTATTAATCTGTAACTTTTTTAAAAAGTAGAACTAGGGAGCTAGAGAGATGGCTCAGAGGTTAAGAACACTGTCCTTTCAAAAGACCCAGGTTCGAATCCTAGCACCCACATGGCAGCTAACAACTGTCCAAAACTCCAGTTCCAGGGAATTCAATGGCCTCTTCTGTCCTCCGAAGGCATTGCATGACACAGGTGCATTTACATACATGCAGGCAATACACACATACACATAAAATAAAGGCAGAACTTAGGCCAAATGAATGAGTTACATGAAAGTGAATTTAGATACACTTTATAGAATAATTTGATTACCAAAAATGCTGCAGTCCGTTTAATGGCACAATACCCACTTTTTGTTTATATTTTCTACTTGTAGAATGTCTGTTTTATCTGTGTTAGATTCAAAAATCTAACCTCATCCTTTTTTTTAAAGGTTGTTAAGAATTTACTGTTTATAGCAAAAGTCTTATATTTATTGGCACCGGATTCTGAGAACAAACAAGCAGAGAAGAGAGACCTGGAAGAAGAGGCGTGGAGAGATGCCACGGCCAGAGAGGTGACAGAATGTGAGGCCACTGCAGACGCGATGGTAGAGTCCGACAGGGAGGAAAAGGAAGAGCCCAGCAAAGCAGCCACACTGCTGTGGCTGATCCAGAAGTTGTCCCGGATGGCAAAACTGGAGGCTGCATATTCACCAAGGAACCCCTTAAAGGTGTGACAGGGTGACTAAGTCCTGTTGTTGCTGTTGAGACAGTCTCACACTGTCACTCTGGCCGGCCTGGTACTCACTGTATACCCTAGGCTGGCTGGAAACTTGTAGCAATGCTCCTGCCTCATCCTCCCTAGTCCTGGGTTTATAGGTATAAGCAACCATGCCTGATTTGTTTTGTTCTATCTTTTCATATTTTAATGTTATTAATGAGACTCTCCACTTTGAAACTAGAACTGCAGCAATAATATCTGTCCTAAAACAAAGTGAACTCCATTTGCAAATGAACACTGTTTGCATGACTGAATGTTCAACAGAAACATTGGTGGTGAAAATGACCTCTCCTTTCAGAGAACGTGCATCTTTAAGTTCCTTGGTGCTGTAGCAGTGGATCTAGGAGTAGACAGGGTAAAGCCCTATCTCCCGGTCATCATTGCTCCTCTGTTCCGAGAGCTCAACAGCACCTACTCAGAGCAAGGTAAACCTACCCCCTCTATCCTCTTTAATGTTTGCCAAGAGGACTCTGACCTCTCCTGGATGTCTCCTTCTTTCTTACCTGCCTTCCCTAGTAGAGTTTAAGAAAGAAAAGTTGTGAAGTACCAGAAGAGTTAGTGACAGGCAAGCAAGCAATTTGCATTAGAGTTGATGTCCTTTTCTCTTTGACTCCTCACGTCAAAAAAGTGACTTCCTCTGATGATTTACTTTTTTTCCCCCTCGGTGTTTTTGAGACAGGGTCTTCCTGTAGCCCCGGCTGTCCTGGAATTCACTATGTAAACCAGGCTGGGCTTGAATTCAGAGATCCACCCGCCTCTGCCTCCCAAGTGCTGGGATTAAAGGCGTGAGCCACCATGCTCAACCTAATGATCTACTCTTGAGGACAGGTTTGGGATGTTCCTAAACTTCATATTGAGCCAGGCATGGTGGTACACACCTGTATTCCCAGCACTCTAAAGGCTGAGGCAGGGGAATTGGGAGTTTGAAGTTTGTCTGGGCTACATAGGGAGACTGTCACAAAAATGTTAATAGTTTAAAATAAGACAAATGAAGTGAATCCAAGAGTATTTTAAGCCCTATAATCTTGAAAGCGTCCTTACTTAAGGGCAGAAAAGGCAGCAGTGGTGAAGGTTAGACCTGACAGCCTAGTCGGCTTTGAGTCAAGGAACACTTCTAAGTGCCTAATGTTTTCCGCACTAGAGTTTCAATAGCAGAAAGGTCCTGGTGCTTGTAGTCTACAGAGATATCCTGAGCTCTCCTGAAACTGAATCCAAACATCTATGGTTTATTTGCATTTCATGGAGAGGGAGCAGGGGAGGGTGGGAGGCAAAGCTCAGTCTCTCATCCCCAGCAGAGGGGACTGAGCACAGCTAGGCTTCTGTGACCTGTGGTTTACAGGCTAGACAAGCCATCTCCTCTTTCCACATCTGCAGAGCGAGCAGGTTCAGAGGTAGTCCAACATTTGTCAAGTTCGTGAGTTGCTTTACTGTCTCCGTCAAGTGCCTGCTGGGAAATGGGCCTCATGGCCTTTAGTTTCTTGTTGCATCCTGGCTGAGGTGGTACTTACAGATGCCACACTCCATCTCAGGAGCACAGAGGCCAATTTATGGTTCCTGCTTAAAGCTGCCATAGATAATAACAGTCATGATACCGAAGTTTAAATGTCCATTATTGATTTTGACACTTGACTGCCTCTGATCCCTACTCTGTTACTAGATCCTTTGCTGAAGAATCTATCCCAAGAAATCATAGAATTACTCAAAAAGCTGGTTGGGCTTGAGAGCTTCTCGTTAGCCTTTGCCTCTGTGCAGAAACAGGCGTGTGAGAAAAGGGCACTCCGGAAGAAGAGGAAAGCCCTGGAGGTGAGTCTGCTGTTGCCGGCTGGTTCGCTGGCTTAAAAAGCACTTTTCTCCAGGGTGTGCACGTGTGTTTGCATTCTCCCCCAAGGGATGTGGGTTTGAGCAGTGAGGGCTCTAAGCCGCAGCTCAGTGTTTTCAGTCAGAAGCATGTACTTGCTTTCAAGTTTAACAGCAAACACAATGACACCATTTTCTACATTTGATTTGGATGATTTTAACCCGCACTTTAATATAAAACTTCTATTTTCTCTTCAAGTTTGTAACCAATCCTGATATTGCTGCCAAGAAAAAGATGAAGAAACATAAAAATAAAAGTGAAGCAAAGAAGAGAAAGATAGAGTTCCTGCGTCCAGGCTATAAGGCCAAGAGACAGAAAACGCGCAGCCTGAAGGATTTAGCAGTGGTGGAGTAAGGTTTCCTGTGCTTAGACCCAGAACTTCTGTCTCACCTGGCCCCAAACCTGAATTCCTGGGCTAAAATAAATCCCAGCAGATTTTATTTGAAGTTAAACTTTGAAAGGCAGGTGTGGTGGTTCAACACCCATAACCCTTGCACTTCGGAAGTTGAGGCAAAAAGGACTGCTTTAATTAAGTTCAAGGCCCACCTGAACTAGTGAGACCTGGTGTCAAAAAGAAAGTTAAACTTTGGAATAGATTTGTAATATATGGTTTAATGTAATCATGCTTGTATTTCTTAATAAAAATGTTTAATATTCTACCACTGCATCTTGATTGTCTATAAGGCATATGATACTAACTGGCAAGCTTTAAAGCTCAGCTTTTTCACAAGAAGAAAATTTAAAAGAGAAAAAGTAGGCATTAGGAATAAATAGCTCTGTAATACCATTGTGAAGAACATGTGAATTTTGTCAGAAGGCATTAAGAGATCTGTGCAAATAAGACAGATATATGGCCATGTTGCTGGATAAGAAGCTTTCGTATCATAAGATGCTAGCTTTTCCCAAGTTGATTCCATTGGTTGAATATACACTGAAGCAAAAACCCAAAAAAGTTCCTGTTAACCTAAAAAAGCTGATTTTAAAGTTTATGTGGATAGCCACGACAGCATGATGCTTTGAGAAAAGCATAGGATAAGGGGCTTGCCCTGCATATATCAAGACATAAACGCACTATTGCTGTTGGTAAGGGGAATGTGTGAAAAATTCCAATTAAGTGCTTCTCCTTATAAAAAGGCACACATTAGGATATGACATGTTCCATGTACCACTGTTAGAGGTAGGATATGGCACATTCCATGTACCACTGTTAGAGGTAGGATATGGCATGTTCCATGTACCACTGTTAGGATTAGTTTCCAGGCTGTACAATGAATAAACCATCAATCAACAGGTAATCCTGTAGGGAAAAAAATGGTAAAAGAAATAGGTATGTACCAAGAGAAGAAAAATGATGATCCTTTAATGTTTAACCATCAACTGATAATGGCTGTACCAGATCTTAAGTCACTGCCTTGGGACCTCCACCTCCCCGGGTGTAACTACACCATTATTCCTAATACCATAAGTAAAAGAATAGCAGAACTAATGTGGGGTAATTCTCCTGTACCACTTCTGTATTAAATATTATTAGAAGTTAAGAAAATGAAGATCAAACACAAGCATGACATTCAGATAAGGCTGACAGTACTGAGTGTTAAGAAGCCTAGTGGGATAATAGAAGTCTTAGAAAGCACTTTAGAAAACAATTTAGCATTGTGTATGAACCTGAAGATGAGGTACACTCTAACCCACCCAGGCCACTATTAAGACAAATTTAGAACCATGGGACCCAAGACATGATTTAAAAAGAATCCTAATGTCCTTCAACAGAGGATAAATAAGTATTTGAGGTAGGTCTAGACGTTCACTCACAGAAATGTGGTAGGGAAAATGACCTTGTTACATCGATACAGATGAGTCCCAGAAACTCCAGGGTTGGGGGGGAAGCAAGTCACAGAAAAACAGAATACCAGTGTAATAAAGATGAGGATCTAGACACGTGCGCACACAGATAAACAAGGGAGTGAGTTCAGTATTTCCAGACAGGGTCTAAGCTCGTGGCATGTGGCGGAAGGGGCTTCAGTTGTACTGCAATGCTGTCAGGTTTTTTTTTTTTTTGCTTATTTGCAAATACTTCATAATTTAAATTTTTTCTTATGTGTGGCCTAAATGACTAAACAATAGAAAACAGAAATTAGTTGATTGCATTGAAACCTTAGTAATTTTAAGGTTAACTACATACAACTAAAGCTGTAGTGAGTCACTTCCAATATATTTGGACAACGCGGACTCCATCCTTTGTTAGGCACTTGGCACACATTTTAATTCCCATAATATTTATGACACTCAAAATTGTTTGTATTTTACAATGAAGCAGAGGCTCAGCAAACAAGTTGTCTAAGGAGACATGGGATGCAGGTAGTAGAGTCAAGATTCAAAACTGTAACGCTATGCTCTGTAATCCTGGGTTCGGAGGTTGGCATGTGGCATACACCTATGTGTGGTATAGGAACCAGGTGTTCAGACATGCACCTCAGTGACTGCTTTAAATACAGTCTTGTAGGGCTGGAGAGGGCTCAGCAGTTAAGAACACTGGTGGTTCTCGCAGAAGACCCAGGTTTGAATCTCAGCACCTACATGGCAGCTAACTGTCCGTTAACTCCAGTTCCAGGAGATCCAACAGCCTCCTCTGGCCTCCAAGAGCACTGCACGACACAGGTGCACTTACCTACATGCAGGCAATTACATGTATACACATAAAATAAAACAGTGTAGTCTTGTGTCTCAGGGGAGCCCTCACCTTTTTGTAATTTGCCAAAATAAGAAGCATGAGCATCTTCAAAATCTGATCTTAAGTCTAAATATTACACAGCAAGACTATCTCAGAAGACCATGTTTTCATTTTAAAAAAAAGCTAAGCCAGACATAATCCCAGCACCCAGAAGGCTAAGGCAGGAGGATCACCACAAGTTTAAGGTCAACTGGGCTATATATACTGAGTACCAGGCCAACAGGACTAAACAACAAGACCCTGCCTCAATAATATTATAAAGATGCACACATTACAACACTCGGGGATACTGTTTTTAATAAACATTTATTGAGTGCTTAGCTCTAATGTGCCAAGTGTAGCACACCAGGACCCAAGGGACATGAACCACAGATTCAGTACTGTCCATGCCCTCAGCCTATATTTAAAGTGAAAATATTGAAAACAGGTAAGTACACCACTGTAAATTTCTCTTGTTTTTAATAACACAACACTGCACAACTTAGCCAACCACAGCTATAGCATACAGTGACAGAACTGTGGGAAACTCAGGGGATCATCTTCTGAAGGGTAGCTGCACCTGGAACTCGTGATCTCAAGTATGGTGCTTTTCTTATTACCAGGCTTCTTGTACAAACCAATATTCAGATGTATCGTGTATATATCAAGACTCTAGGACTTATTCCAGCCTGTGATAACCTAGTGGAAATCAGCAGACTTAAGAAGACGGGCTGTGTACCTGGCACTTGTCCGCTAGGACCTTACTTCCCACTTCTATTTTCTCCAGTGTTCCAGAACCACGGGGTAGTGCCTAGCCCCTGGAGAGTCAATCTAGAAACTCGGTGTAAATTAGTCTACCATTTCCCAACCATTGACCAGAAGAAAACTAAAATATAAATTGCAGACATATTATTATATCCTACAGTTTCAACTAGGAATATATTCTTGGTGCATACAGGGTGTGCACTTGCCTGCGCATGTGCATGTGGAGGCCAGAGGTCACACTGGGTGTTGTCTTCTAGCACTCTCACCTTATTTTCTGAGACAGTTTCACTGAACCTGGAGCTTGCAATTTCAGCTAGATCTCCTGGCCAGCAGCACCTCCCACCTGCCGGTCTGCACCCCTAAGCACTGAGATCACAGGAATGCTTCAGCACACCTTGCTTTTATGTGGACTCGGGATATCAAGCTCAGATCCTCATGCTTGCATAGCAAGCACTAACCCACTGAGCCATCTCCCAGCCTCATCTATGAATCTATTCATGGAATATAATGCCTACACATACGGATACTAGGAACATTAATATAAAAGTGAAATCCTTTGCCCATCAAAAGTATACTCACTTTTATTAGTTGTATTAGGAAGAACAGTACCTGGAGGAAAACAGATTCTAAAGAGAAATTCAAAGAAACCAAATTAGGAATGGGGACAAGAAGAAAAGTTTAAGAATCACAAGCTGCCATGGTGGTACACACCTATTTCAGCACTGTGAGAGGCCATACATAAGGTGGGGCAGGGGCTTTGTGAAGCACTTCTGTTTCTGGCCTAGAACCTGATATGTAGACCAGGCACCAGGCTGTCCTTAATCTCACAGAGATCAGCCTGCTTCTGCCTCCTTAGTGCTGGGATTAAAGGTGTGTGCCACCAATGTTTAATTTTTAGACTGCTGGTTACCCAATTTATTTAAATGAAAAAACTCCCATTTTAGAAAACACTCTAGCAGATCCTGTGGTGGACTGGGAAGATGGGAAAGTTCCTCTGAAGACAACTTTATAGTCTAGCAATATGCCTAATTTTTAAAACCAGCAATGTTTTAATTTTTCTCTATAGAACCAGTGAGATTTTTTTTTAACCAATTTTCATTGCCATTAAAAGGAGATGATGGAAGACAGTAAAGACATCTTTGTAATGTTTGTTAAAAATGTTTATTTCATGTGATTTTTTTTTCTTTTTTACTGTGATGTAAATTCATCAGCTATAGACATTTGGGGTTGTTTTTACTGTATCATTTAATCGTTTTACTAGTATAGACATGTTCATATAGCATTATTTTGAATATTGCATAACTACTTTAACTTTTCTTTTTTTTGAGACATGGTCTCATGTATCCCAGCTTGAACTCCTTCCTGATCCTCGTGCCTGTCTCCCAAGAGCCAAGATCATAGGTGTGTGCCACCACACACAGCTGTCTTCAGCATATGCTTAGAGTTAAGGTTATCTGTGTTGCCAGTGTTGGCATTTTCAGGCACAGTGCAATTTATGAGACAAGCTTCTAACCACAAAGCCTGACTCTGACCACTCTTCCCATCTCACTATACACAGGGGCCAAGTGCAAAGCAACACATCAGAACCTTGGGTCCACATTCTCAAAGTGATGGCATTACAACCTTGCCTAGCTTCTCTGCAGGGTTCCTGTACAAACTGATCAGTTCAATATATGTAAAATTTTGAAAACTATAAAGTATTATAAAATATAGAAGTCAGTGAAGTTAGCCAACAAAATAATATTCATGCCTATATAACCAAACACTTAAATAGCTTAATATAAACTAAGCAGTTAAACAGACGAAAAGTGTATTATGCACGCTGTGCTTCTAAACTACACTGAGAACAATCTTTGGAAGGACTTAATTCATTTTAAGGGGGAAAATTCTGAGCTAAAATCTTAGTGTTATACAAACAAGATGCAACCACTAATTAAAAATAGCTACCCCCCCAAGGAAGAATATGCATTCTTTAATAGAACTGTATTTGAGTAAGAATTCCATACAAATACAATATATACCTTAACACAAGAAAGCAAGGCAGAAATAGTTTACATTACATAGACCATTTGGGTAATTCAGTCAAGTTACCCCTCTCGCCAGATACTTATTGTTTATTCCAAATGTTGAAGTCAGTTCTGTATACGCCAGCACAGTTCTAACATTCAGTCACGAGAAGCACATCTGTTTCCAAAGGAATATGAGACGTTGAGTTGGGTTCACAGGAGCAGATGTGACAGAGTTACTACTGTCTGCTTTTTAATGTTTCAACTAACCTATAAAGAGAAAATGAAATAGTTGAACAAAACTTACTATCAAGTATAAAACGAACACTTACAAATTTGAAGGTGGAAGTGATGTCAAAGTACTTAAAATGACAAAGGTTAACAGATTAGAAGAAAAAGACCAAGCACCAATTTTTACTTATTTTGTTTAGGGTTTTTTGTTTTTGTTTTCCAGACAGAATCTCCTGAGTGCTCGGATTATAGGCATGCACAACCAAATTGGGTCTCCATGTATCTATATTCCAGGCCCTATTATTGCTGGGCTTCATGTGGACAACTGTACAAACTCATCTCTGTCCTCAAGCTCATGAGTAGATACACATATCCAACAATTACAAACCAATGTAACAAGCGTCACTCTGTGTCACAGCTGTGACAAGAGCACAGAGCTTTACTCATGGAAAGGCAGCAGGATCAGAGATAGACTTGAGAATGAGAAGAGGCCTCAGCCTTATCCCTGAAGGAGAAGGAACTGGAGAGGGTAAGAAGAGCACTGCTTATCTAGTGACCACATAGGTGCTGCTGAAATTAAGGCAGATGCACATGAAGTCCAGTCAGAAAAGATCGAGGGAGCTACACGATCAGCTGCTACCTAAATTTCATCCTCAAGAAAATGGAAATTCTATCCTAGGCCAGGTGTGGTGGTACAAAGTGGCGATCCTTGTAGTGTGGAGGCTGAAGCAGGACTGGATCGTGGGCTACATACAACTGGGGAAAAGGGAAAACTCTGTCCTAGAGGAGGTTCCCCCATATCCATGCACAGCTGCCTGGCTGGAGAGACTCACCATTCCATTGCCTCATCAAGGCCAGTGCCCTTGGTTGCTGATGTTTTAAATATCTGCCATTTCCGGTCCTTCAAGGCTGGTAACCCAAGTGCATTTGCCATTTCTGAGGGTGTCATGGCCTGCTCCATGTCCTGTTTGTTTGCAAACACTACTAAAATGGCTTTTCTCAGTTCTTCTTCCTAAATAACATGGAAATTATTTCATTTCCTTTATCAGTTTGTATCCTTGAATTCAGAAAGAAATGTCAAAAAGCATATTACATTTAAAATATATTTTCTAATTATTAGTATAGAACATTCATTATAAATTACTTAAAATTACTGGGTAGTATAAACAGAAGCTTCACCCATAATCCTACCTCCCAGAAATGACCACTGTTAACCTAGTAGTTTCTACAAGTACTGTGTTGTGCAGATATTTCATTTACTTAGTAAATATTTACAAACTTAAGGCTACATTTATGTATAATCCTATAATTTGTTTAAAACTAAATATTAAATTATGAATATTTCTTCACTCTATAAGAAATTTTCCAGCCAGGCATAGTGGTTCATATCCATCACCCCGGCACTCAGGAGGTTGAAACAGGAGAAATGCCTGGGCCACAGACCCTACAGAGCCTGTCTCTCAAAGCCAAACAAACAAAACAACCAGTAACATCAGTAACAGCAACAAAACACACCCCTACCAAAAAAAACAACAACAAACTTTGTTTCAACAAAAGAAAAAGAAAAGAACTAGGCTTGATGATGGTGTGGTATGCATCTTTAATCCCAGCACTTGGGAGGCAGAGGCAGGCATAGTTCTAAATTCGAGGCCAGACAAGAGTTACATGGTGAGATCTTGTCTCAAAACAAAAACAAAGAACGGCTAAACACACTGTACACTAGTACACGTGTACCACACACCACACAGCTATTATCTAGTTCTAAACAGATTCCTTTCAGGTAACTTAAAGAAATCCAAGCAACAATCTTTATACAGGTTATTGTGGCTGATACTGTAAATGACACGCAGGAGACCAAAGCAGCATTAGTAAGACTTTGAGGCCAGTCTCAGCTATACAGGGCATTGGAGGCCAGCCTGGAAACCTTGTCTCATGAAAGTCTACGTCTTCGATAGAGCCTTCCCAGGACTGGAAACTGTAATATTTTTTCCCAAACAGATCTTACGCTTATTTATTATGTATATAAAAAAGCAAATGTTATCAGCAATGTTCTTCTATTAATTACCTTTTCTAAAACGAAAAAAAAAATTTTTTTTTTTTTTTTTTTTTTTTTTTTTTTTGAGACAAGATGTCGCCCTGTAGCCCCGGCTGAACTGGAACTCGTTATGTAGACCAGGCTGGGCTTGATCTCATAGAGATCTGCCTGCTTCTGTCTCCTAAGTACTGGCATTGAAGGTGGTGAACTACACCAAGCATAAATTGCCTTTTGTTCCATTTTTCTACTAAGATAATACTAATCCTGAGGGACAGGCTTCTGGGGCCCCACCCATCCTTAAGGAATGATAAGCAGGTGACAGCTGATAGGGGTAGAAGGACACTTTCTTCAAGTCCTATAACCACTGGTGAGGTCTACATGCTACTGTGATCAAACTCTCACCCACATTCCTATAAACAACCCCAATAAAACTCATTGAGTCACCGGAAGAAAAGAAAAGAGGAAGCTAACAGGAGTGGGAGGGACAAGAGAAGGGAAGGGGTGTGAATATGATAGAAATACAGTATGGACATGTATAAAAATGTCATAAAGAAACCATTAATCTGTGGGTTCAAAGCCAGCCTGGTCTACATAGCAAGTTTCAAGCCAGCTGGGGCTACAGGGAGATCCTGTCTCAAAAAGACCAAAAAAAGAAACCGTTATTATATAGAGGTAATACATCCTAATAAGAAGCATTAAAAAACTAAAGTGCCAGGCGTGGTAGCACACGCCTTTAATCCCAGCACTCAGGAGGCAGAGGCAGGCAGATCTCTATGAGTTTAAGGCCAACCTGGTCTACATAGTGAGTTCCAGGAAAGCTGAGGCTTTAGGGAGACCCTGTCTCAAAAAGACCAAAAAAAAAAAAAGAACACCTAATTGTGCTTGGAAGGCTGAAGCAGGAGGATCAAGAGTTTGATGCCAGCCTGGGCTACATGGTAAGATCTGTCTCAAAAAAAGAAAGGAAAAAAAAACACTAATCCTTCATAAATGAGTTCGGGTCAGTCCAGATTTCCTGTTTGTATAGTTTATATATCTCAACTTTGGAGATTTTGTGTTACAAATAAATCTATCTTTCCAGAGGGGGCAGGGCTGGCTCAGCAGATAAAGGTGATTGCCACAACTAAATCACCTTTCCTTAGTAAATCCTCCCCATTGTTTGATTTAAAACTCTCCCTATCCAGAAATTTTAAGCATATTCTCTTACACATTCTGATATAGTTAATAATTTCCTTTTATTTATCTTACTAGTATTTATTTTTGTATACAAGGAAGGTAAAACTGCTTTTGCATTTGTATGTTTTAACATTAACAGTACACACTGGTAGTAGACCTACACTTTACGTAATCTGCTGACTGAAACAAAAGTTATTTGCTCAGAATCTGACTTCTAGTTCTTGGTCTGTAAGGTTTTGTTTTTCCATTGGGAGGGATGAAGCCCAGGGTCTTGTGGTAGATAAGCACTCTTCTGCTGAGCCACACCCCCAGCCTTCGTTTTGAGGAAGGCCTTGAATTCACTACAGTAGTCCAGAATTGCCTCAACTCACAATCCTCCTGCCTCTGCCTCACAGAGTACTGAGATTACAAGCATGTACCTGTAATTACAGACTGTATCTCTGTAAGATCTGATAAACCAAATCCTAATACTGTAAATAACCTCATGACAATCTTGTACAATGCAAGAATTATAAATGGAAGTGACTAATCCCTATCTTTGAAATGCTACTTTATATCATATGAATCATATCTAAATAAAGCTGTTTTATTTAAAAACCCATTTATCAAGTGAGCTGGAAAGATGGTTCAACAGTTCAGAGTACTTGCTGGTCTCACAGAAGACCCAGAGTTTGTTTCCAGTACCCACATGACAAACCCATAACCAGCTGTAACTCCAGGTCCAGGGGATCCAATGCCTTCTTCCGGCCTCTGCAGGTAACAGGCACAAACATGGTACACACAACATACATGCAGGCAAAATGCTCATACACATAAAATATATTTTAAATTTTTTTAAACATTAAAAAACAAAACTCCATTAAACCAGCTTGGCACAGTGGTGCACCTGGGAGGCAGAGGCAGGAGGATCTCTTGAGTTCCAGGCCAGCAGGGGCTACAAAAAAACCAAAAAAATTAAAAAAAAAAAAAAAAATCCAGGGGCTGGAGAGATAGCTCAGTGGTTAAGAGCACTAACTGCTCTTGCCAAGGACCTGCATTCGATTCCCAGCATCCACATGGCAGGTAACAACTGTCTGTAACTATTTCTAGGAGATTTGATGCCTTCTTCTGACCTCCAAGGGCATCTCACCACACAGGTACACTTACATACATGCAGGCAATACACTCATACACATAAAATAAAAATAATCAATAAAGAGCCAGGAATGGCGGTGCACGCCTTTAATCCCAGCACTCAGGAGGTAGAGGCAGGTGGATCTCTGTGAATTCAAGGCCAGCCTCGTCTCCATAGCAAATCCAGGCCAGCTGTGACTACAGGAAGACCCTATCTCAAATAAAGACCAAAACAAACAAATAAACAAACATTTTTTTAAAAAAAAATTGTTTTCTTACCTCCAACATGGCAACTAATTCTGATTTAGAAATGCCAATCCGGTCTCTGTCACAACTATCAACTACATAGATGACTGCATCGGTGTTTGAATAGTAACATCTCCAATATGGCCTAAAGAAAATTAAAAAATGGAGAATATATAATTACTTGAAAGAAATTGGACATGTAAGTTCACAGGTTAGGACTCAGGTCAGTGATGGGGAGATGGAGAAGATTATAAAACAGTCCTAACCCACTCAGATTCAAGACAGGGTCTTAATGATGTACTGCTTCTCTGGGAATTATATCTTGCATCACTCTCAGTATAACTAGGCTGAAAGAATAGTAATAAATACTAAATTACAGTTTCAAAATAAGTTCAGACTTCAGGCTGAGAAGATATATGCATCACCTATAAAATCACTAACTATACTCATAAAAAAAGTTGTATCAGACATGATCATTACAGTTTATAAGTCTTCAACCAGGAATCTCTTAAAAGAAATGGACCTTTTAAAATTTTAATGTGACTTTGTAGCTCATTAATCTCTGATGACACTCAGAAGTAAAATTAGCTAAAATTAGACATGAACTCAAAAGCAATTTAACAAGCAACTGAGTTAATGGAAGGCAGAGTATTTGGTGCATGTGTTGCTAATCTCTTAAGATAGCACCCAGTAAATTATCTAAAAACTGAGTTCCTTAGATTTTAATTCAATGGGTACTCTGAGGAAACAGGCAGTTTCAAATTTTAGCACATTTTAAACAATGCAGTCTCCATCTCATTAATAACAGATTTATTTTGGTTTACTGTTGTCAGCCCTAAAAAGAACCAATAAATGTTAAATCCCACAAAACAACCTGGTGTTTGGAACATACCTGATACTCGTCTGTCCTCCTAAGTCCCAAACTTGGAATTTAAGGTTTTTGTATGTCACCGTCTCTACATTAAATCCAATAGCTGGAAGAGAAATCCAAGCAGCAGGTGAAGTAGACAGCTGCACTCACCTTCACACAGCACACAGTCTAAGTTTTAGCAATCTGTGGTAATTGTTCAGTCACACTGCTGGCTGAGCTATCCCATTTAAGACTTAACTCAATGGAGATCCTGTGTGCACGTTTGTGCTTGTGTATGTTCGGGTGCGTGCGTGCGTGCGTATGTGCATGTGTGCGTCTGTGTGTCTAGACCAGAGGACAAGGTGGTTCCTGGCTATCGTTCCTCAGGCACTGTCCATCACTCGTCTGTCCTCCTAAGTCCCAAACTTGGAATTTAAGGTTTTTGTATGTCACCGTCTCTACATTAAATCCAATAGCTGGAAGAGAAATCCAAGCAGCAGGTGAAGTAGACAGCTGCACTCACCTTCACACAGCACACAGTCTAAGTTTTAGCAATCTGTGGTAATTGTTCAGTCACACTACTGGCTGAGCTATCCCATTTAAGACTTAACTCAATGGAGATCCTGTGTGCATGTTTGTGTTTGTGTATGTTCGGGTGCGTGCGTGCGTGCGTGTGTGCATGTGTGCGTCTGTGTGTCTAGACCAGGGGACAAGGTGG